GAAAATATATTTAAAAGATGAATTTGCTTTGAAATTAAGAGCCGATTTAAGAGGCAGGTTAAAAAGCTTTCTTATCAAGCAGTAGAAGAGTTATTTTTTCTTTCTGTGAGTTAGAAAAGTACTTGGAGATTTTGAAAAGAGAAAAAGCAGCAATTCTTAAATGACCTTTAAAACATGAGCGGTTTTGAAATCGCTTCCTGTGTATATCTCTGTGAAATCTGGAAGCTTAGTTCAGGAAGTGTATATACATGACAGGCAGAGGGCTGGCAAGCAGACAATGCAAGTCTGCATGTGTGCGTGTGTGTGTGTTTGGGTGTATGCATTCCACTGTTCTTGTGGAAAATAGAGAAAGAGTGGGTGCATGTGTTATTTCTGCTGAGTTTCACACACCGAGTGGACAAACAATCTATTCCAATTAAAGCGAGCTGCAGCCCTGGAGAGTGCAGAAGAAGCTATGCTCCATCGGATCACATCATCCTTTGAAAAACCCTAGAATAGCCGATTGTGATTCGGAGGAAACAGGCCCCTTCAAGAACAACTAGTGTGGGCTGGCTGTGGGGGTGGGGATGACTGGTTCCAAGTTAGTCTAGAAAGTTCCACAGCAAATAGCGTTATGGTGGAAGTACTGGAGCAGTGGGAGCTGCTGGGAAGAGGGCAAGGCTATTAATCCTGCTTGTAGCGCTGGTTTACCGCTCTTACTGCATGTGGGGCGAGGAGGCAAATTAATAGTGTGGCGGAGATTAATTAGGTGACGTTAAGGGAAATTTGTGACCGTAAAACTTTAGAGGTCTGTACAGCTGACTAGACTAATGGGGCGTTCATGAACTCTTAATAGATGCTACTCCGATGTCGAGTATGAGCAAAGCAGAAGGAGAGGCAGGAAAAAATATGTGTCTTTGCACAAAGCGTTGTCACCAGAAACAACTCAACAAGCTTCAGAAAGCTATTGAGTGCCTAGAGGAGCAGAGTTTATAACCTTCCCCCTTTAGGTGAATGTGGAATATTCCACTCCCCCTTTAGGTGAAAGCGGAATATTCCACTCCCCCTTTAGGCGAAAGCGGAATATTCCTCTCCCCCTTTAGGCGAAAGCGGAATATTCCACTCCCCCTTTAGGCGAAAGCGGAATATTCCACTCCCCCTTTAGGCGAAAGCGGAATATTCCACTCCCCCTTTGGGTAAAAGCGGAATATTCCACTCCCCCTTT